AATTAAGTTGTATATGTACGTAAGTGGATTCAGGCCCTGTCTGACTTCATTCCAGTCGTAAGTGTGCACCACTTACACCACAAGTCGGATAAATATTCACATAACCTATAATTTTCAGAGGATATCTCAAGAAAGTGTCGAAATCACACAGGCCTTTTCGCTTTCTACTCAGGAACTTCTGAAGAAACGAACCCAAAATACTTCTGTACAAGGTTTGTGTGCTCTCACTCCTAGATTAACTGCTTCTTAATGGACGAGCCATGCGTAACAACCACGTGTTCACTTCTAAAAGTCAATTTTTGGGCTTGCACATTTTCTTTTAGCAAGCGGTAGCTCAACAGAAGATAATCTAGACTGGTTAGTCCTCTCCCCGAAGCCTAGCATATTTGAGCCAAAACAAGGTACACTCACTGAATGGCTCCCGTCAAAACGTAAGCAGTCATCACACCCTCTTTCTACATCTGCATTTATCAACCCATCAAGCAACTTCCAGCACAATTATCATAATAAGCAGTTAAATTTACAACCGATTTGAATTTTTAAGGCAACCAAAAAGTTTGACAGCCCTCCTCATTAATATTAAAAACGTTTAAATGCTTTGTCTACTCATGACTCATGCTCTTCGTCTAAATTCCATGGGCGTATCATGGCTTCTTTGGCGGATTTCTGAGGCCAGCATGAATTTCGACATTGTTTCGTGATATTCATCATTCATTTTCAAGAACTAGTGTGTAAGGATTTGATTTGTTTTAGGTTTGACCACGGATTAATATCAGTCAGAGAACTATTGAAAACCAGGGATTACTGAACAGCTGTTTCATCCCAGTTCCGAATTCTTCAGCAGCATGCACCCACTGTGGTTCCTACCCAAGAGCACGCTCGTATACCAGTTCCTGGGAACCGGTTTTACTGATAATAAAAATCATATTAGGAAAATGGGTTCCCTCCAACACAATAAATATGGTTGAATTTCCCCCATGAGTCGATGCGAGAAATAAGGGCGTATCATGACAAAGAAATTCAAAAGGCGGAAATGAAATCTTTGGCTATTTTATCATTCATAGGCATATTTTGAAGCCAAAACCCCAACCATTAAAGCGAAAATTCCCCACTATAGGACGCCATTAAATGTTGAATAAAGTTGTCGTCTAGTATTGTGGGCTTTTTCCAGTAGGGCTGAATACAGAAAAAGACTAGGCAGTATAAGTTAGAAAAAGGTATTAGCGAGTCATATATTATCTGAGCATTGCAATCACAGTTAATTTTTGGTTACAAAATGTGACAAATATGAACTTGATGACTTCTGATAGATTGTTTATACTGGTACCGAACCAGCTGGGGGTGAGGTATTAGTATTCAGAAGACTGGAAAGTCAGTAAACCTCCTCGTAAACAATTCAAACGGTTTTTTACAGTTACCTCAACTCCTTAACAATGGGAGTAGCATTAATTATTTACATGAAACGAGCAGCATTTGTTTAGAGTGTAAAATAGTGGAACCAAATTTTTCAGAATTAGTGGATATCTCCTTGGCTAGATTTCAACATTATTTTAGCCACCTAATTCTGCACGAAATCTGGTAGTGTCGCGTCCTGATGAAATGACAAGCTAGGAAATAATTCTCAAACCTGGGTTGTGCTCCAGAAAGAAATAAAAAAGACACAGGAATAAGAAAAGTAATGGAAAAAGACTAACTCAACTGTCAAAGGAGCAGGACAGAAGTTGCTTTCAACTTAGTAACAGGATAGCTGTCAGTTTTCTCGTAGTTGATGATCATGACGTTCTCAAGTGTTGCAGATTTGGGACTTGAACTTTTACAAAAGAAGTTAAAAATGCTCAGGAGTTAATTTAAACTTAGAGGTAACAGTTTAAAGTTATTACACAATTATAAGTGATAATGATAACTATCGCACGACTGAAATTAAACATCACGTACAAGGTCATTGATGGAGTGAGACGCTCAAAGGTCATTTTCGTCCATGTTAGTCGGCCATGTTGGATTGTGGTTCCGTAGCTGTTCGTTTACACATTGGTTTTTCCGTTTATCCAGCAGTTATTCACAACTTATCTTGATGCACATTGTCTACAAATGTTGCGTTTCACTTCCTTATTGTTTCCGTTTCTGTTAAAATTAGTTATTTCGTTTGTTTCGAAAGTTTTTACCAGCAGGTCAGTGCATTCATTTCATTGTAATTGTTTCATACGTTGCATTCATGCATGGTTTCAGGGTTTCAGTTGTTTTTCCACTATTAATGAATTAGTACTGTGTAGAAGTTTTGGAAATAATGCACATGAACATGTTTGGTTGGCGGAAGCAGTTGTTTTCAGTTCATTCGTTGGTTGCCGTTCTTGTTGCTGGCTCAGTTGCTTACTTAACATGTAGAAATCTGGAAAAAACAATGTCTGTCACATTCATGTTTACAGCATGCAGCAATCTACGAGTCAATCTGGTGAGGAAAATACGATCAGAGTTGATATTAGCAAAGTTTTCGAAGAGCAAATTAAACCTGGAGAATTTAGAACCTGGGATGATGTTGAAAAAGCTTTGAAGCTTTTTGAGAAGGTGAGCACAGTATCAGTGTGTCTATTATCAGTTAACAAACACCCGGTATATTGTGAGAGAATCTAAATTAAATAAGGATGAGCCACATGTGAAGTATGACTATGCGGTGTTTGTATGTACTTTTGGACACAAAAGGAAATCCGTAGGTAATCACATCCGCCTTAGGGGGTAAGTTTCCTGTGGTTGTTAATGTCTTATGGAGTAGATCTAAATACAGTGGTTGCCCGTCAATGATACGCATCCGATATCATTGCAATGAATTCATTATACCATCTGTATATATGATTCATAATCACTATTTCACTCGTGAATATTTAATGAAGGATGCCAAAGCACGCAAATTACATGAGTCTGAACTCTGTATATTTAAGCCGACGCTGTCTGTTTCATCCGAACCTGAAAAGGTTATTGATTAAGTGGCAGAACGATTCAAAAAATGCATGACGTACAATGATCTACGAAATATAAGAGCTACTGTAGTTGAAGGTGAGACTTTGGTTTACAAGAATAACCTTTCAGATTGTGATTTACGGTCAGTGGTTTTTTCTAGATTACATCAAGCTGGGAAATTGGTTGTAATTCGGGATGAAAACGATGGAAGAATAAAAATAGCTTGTTTTAGTTCAAATAGGCAAATCGAAATTTACCACAAATTCCCTCAGGTCGTGGGTTTCGATTCCACCTACAACACTAATAGAGGAAAGTAGGTTTAAATGTTTTCTACATCAAATATTTGAAGTTATAAACTGTTTCAATTTGTTGTTACAGACTCTCATGGAGAAGATCTGCCGGTTATGTTTGCATGGAGTAGACAAGAAAGGCTGTATGATGTAACGACGATCCTGGATAAATTTAAATGTATAATGGGTACGACGTCTAATACAGAAAATCCCGATGAATGGTATTAGCGTTAGCTTGGCCGAATGATATTTCCGCTGATTCCATATTTGCCAACCTCCGTATACCTGAAAAAAATTAAGCAAATGTAAGTACTAGCACAACATGAAGTTACGAAAGATAATTTTATATATTAGTATACAATCTGAATACACTGATTCTATTAATACTAAGCAAAGTTCTCATGCAAATAAAAGTATTTGTAGTCCACAGCTGGTTTTTATATTGACGCCATTTGCATAAATAGACCTCAGTTGTTTTCCAGCATTAGAGGATTATACGCAAATTTCAAGACAATATCCGAAGCATCCATACTGTTGAGGCGTCATTCTCTCATCAAGATTACTTACAGATCAACTTCACACTAACTACGCTTACATTAAATGAAGTATTGCAAATGTGTAACTTAGAAATTGATCCATAATCTCAGTAATGTCTAATGAGCATAGTTTTATGAATCCTACAGAAATTACTTTTTCACATTAAGGAATCTGTAGCCATCAAATATAAGCTGAACATGCTTCAACTCTAAACAGCTATGCACAGTGTTAGCAGCATAGAGAAACACTTGAAATATTGTAAGATACGCAGACCTGTTGCGTTGATGAGGATAACAATGACATATAATGCAACCTAAACTTTCAGTCGTGATGCGGCATCTGTACTGCTTCATGTTAATGGAAAATTCAGGAAAAATTCATCACAACTACTGGTGATCAAAAACATTGCAGCATTAAGTTAACAGTGCCAGTGAGAATGGCATAACAGACAGTAGATTGATAGTAATAGAGCTGACTAGATTCAGTTCTCATAATCGACACAATCCATGTGTATAATAATACTATACACTGAATTAATGCACTAAGTGACACAGTAAGGAAATTTAAACGAGTGATTGCCTTCTCCACTGCACTGCACTTGCAATAATCATGATAACCACCTACGTTTGCTAGCCAAGCAGTCAGCTAAGCAGACAATGGCACAATATTAATAAAGTTGAGATATTTTTATACATTGAGTCCACATAACTCATATAACGCTACACCAAACAGTGCAAATATACATGAAATACACTTAGAAATAACCTCTCAACTTACGATAATTCCTGTCCAAACACACATACGGTGAGACACATCTACATGATTACTTCTATTCCCACAGAAGGTTCTGTTAGCATTTACAGGTGATTTACAAGTACTGATAGAATTCTTTTGTCAAAAAGGACTGTTCTTCACACGAAAATAGGCTGAATTAATATCCTGAGACGTGAAGTCTTCATTGAATGATACCATGCCGAAAGGTGCAGCATCTAAATAAAGTAGACTATTTGTGTAGATGACATTACCCTTCAACTATCCTATCTTTCTCATTATAGCGATATTTTGCTACAGTTCGCCTGAAACACTGATCGTTGCAACCAATATGCTAGGGGGTGTCGCAGTCAGATTACATGACGCGGACACCAAAATAACTGGCCAGAAAATGGGAATTCCCATCAATCCAGATAACATATAACACAGTTTTATTAAAAATTATTGACAAAAAAATTTCCAAGTGAAATTTTAACAGCTGTTCTAGAACGTGATATTTAAGGTCAGCCCAATCGCACTCTTAATTGAACTATTGAATCTCAACATATCGTTATTTCGCGTATGAGGATTTGAATTGTTTGGGGATGTCCACATCTCAGAAGCACAGAAGCTTTGTTTCAGAGCCTATTTCGGAGAAAGTTGTAGAGGAACTCCCAGGAATAGGTGAAAAGCTTGGAGAAAGACTCAAAGCGAAAGGATATGACAAGGCTTACGTCGTTCTAGGACAGTTTCTTCTCCTGCGATGCGAAGAAGACCTATTTAAGGAATGGCTTTCCCAGACATGTGGTGCTAACTCGAAACAGTCTGGGGACTGTTACAATGCATTAAAAGACTGGTGTAGTTGTTTTATATTCTAGTTATACTGCGAAGACAATTATGTAAATCACTTTTGTTATATGCACCCTATTTTTTTCCACATAAATTGACTCTGTTATCATCTATTTTGTGTTCCTCAGATTTATGCATTCAAATACTCGGTGCAATACACTATTATGTAACGACTATACACGTGTTCTTAGATTTTAGTCAGCTAGCTTGTGCAAGTAGGGGTTTTGGGTATATTCACTATCTGTACGTACATGTTCTCGAGCTGTGTTTACTAGTTTATGTATTCGTATTAAACAACGTAACTTTAAGTTTAGAATTTTATATTTTGACCAAGTTTAAACTGAAATTTCAAGACTGGTAAATCGGAACGTATTGGGGTTCAGACTTGTTATTGAAGATAATCACAAGGCTTGGAGCCAGTATAAGTTCTTCCCCATCACTTCCCTCTCTCGATAGTAGAAATAGTGCGTGGAGGCCAATCCCTAGAACTCCCTTCTAAGTCTTGGAGGATTGGTTCGTACTTGGCTTTTGTATTTATTTGGTTTCTCCTGAATTGTCCTGTTATGTGAAACATTGCCACAAGCCTTAATTCCTAATTTCTTCCCAATTGATATTCTATAGTATCGCCATATGTTGTCATAACAGTTTGTGGATCATAAGCTCTTAATATTTCTCAAATGAGCGTTAATTAGATATTCCACTGGATTTCACTTGTGAATGTTTAATGGGGTATAAAACAGTAAGCCTAACAGTCTGTGTTAGTACTTCTAGTGTATATCTGGAGATTCAGTTTCGTGTGGATGGGTCCATCGGTGAGGCTTATATCATTAATTCTGATGGGTTCCTACCATTATCCAGCATGTACATAAACAGTATTATATGTAGTTTATTCCACTTCGGAGTTTGAACCTTTTTATGTTATTTCAGAGATGTTCCAGAAAGGGTAAAGCGTATTCTCTGCCTAATTACTTGGGGTATTATACTGCAAAATAATATGTTACTATATGGCGAGGAAAGGGGATTTAAACTAACCATCTGTTCAGAGGAGAAATACACGATTAGTTGCACTACTTTAGTGTTAGATCTTCGTATTCCTTTTCGGATGTAATCTAAAGAGCATCATTTGGACGCAACTCATTGTAATTATTTTAGCCGATCATATTACCTTGAGTTTTTATTTATATTTCACTAAATCTAATATTCTTATTAATCGTAACATTTATTATTACTATTATAATAACCACGGACTTCCACAAGCAGTAGTATATATATATATATATATATATATATATATATATATATAGGTAATCTTTAGACAGTTCTTTTGGATTTCAAACAATTGGTTTGATCTTGCACTGACCAGAGGTGTTCTGTACTATTGTTTGTGATAGTCTGTGGTTATAATATGCAGTAATAATAAGTGTTAGGATTAATAAAAATATTAAATTTAATGAAATATCGCTTTGGCACCACTCGTCTATTATTATGAAGTGTTAGACAGCGACAACTGAATCTGTATTAGAGTACCTTACATGTTCTCCACTAAGATTACAATTATTAAAAGTATAACATCGCCCACATGAAGTGATAAGGGTTTTATCTTGAAGATAACTAAGCTTCTTAGGATAGGTTTGGTTTGTTCACACAGTGACACCATTAAATTAGTAAATTGGTTAGTGGGTGGGAAGAATGAATCGCGTTATGATATGAAGAACATCGTAATTCTGAATCCAGTAAGTTGTTTGTAAGTGGTACATTTTTAGGCGTATACAGAATATTTATATTAAAGTGTGTTGGTGTTTCGTGAACTGGGAATTCCATCTCTGCGGATTTCTCGCATGTTCGACTCCTTAGACCATATTACATGTCAAATCATAATGCTATATAAAGTAAGTGATTAGATATAATTCAGAGCAACATTAGCAGATACTATTGTATCACTGTGTGCTTCACCTAGCTTGTGAATGATACTCCAGATTCCCCAATTTCTGTATTTTTTTGGGAGATATGATAAGACTGGGTCGAATCCACTTACTTATTCACAACTGCTTACATTCGGCAAATCACTTTTTCTGTAAGCCTTAGGTTTTAGCAATGCCGTGTTAAGATATATCATTCCTAATGTAGTTGCGTGCCTAAAGTGGGGAAATTTGTTTTCAACAGATTTAATTAACACGTCTAGCGCAAACTGTTTGTTTACCACCGTACTTCCATCTGTTGATGCATTAACATGAGTTGACTACTGAATTAGAAGAGATGTTGGTCCACTCTGCGAGCTACGTTCGATGAAAAGCTTTAAAAGTTAGTCGTTCCCACGTAATCTAGAACTTTTCACGCTACTTAAACGCAGGTTGGTCACACACCTTTTGGTTACGTCAGTTTTCCAGCTCCCTTGTGTTACTATCATTTGCGGTGGATTGTAGGAGTTTATGTTACACATAACCCGTGAAATACTTTTGGTGGCTTAAGGTTTATGGTATTAACTGGAAAAAGATGAAGCGTTGCCTCTAATAACTCGGGATGGTGAGTGTTTACGTTTATGTAATAACATTTTCATATAGAAAGCAGTGGGGGATTGCCAGGTAGCAAGCCTAAGAGATAAACAGGAAGTGAGGATTAATTTCGCTGTGGAGATTAGAACTAAGCGTCTTTGGAATCATGATTGTTTTCTAGTATCACCAGTAAGATAAATATAACATTAGAATCCGGAAAACAAGTGAGGAGGCTTGTTAACAGAATAAGAAGCCACTATAATATGATGCAAAACTGATGCAGTAGATAGATGTAAGGAAAGGGACTGTGAGAATGACGCCTATTTAATTGTCGAGGTACCAGAAATAAGCCGTTAGGTTGTTATGACCCAAGGTCACATATGTGTAAATGCTACTGGCCTTTGCTTGTAGGATTTTCCCTCAAAAGAGAATTAGGTCTTTGGTATAGAAGTGAATTTGCGATACAACTTACTGTTTATGTAATTCAGTGTTTTTTCTCAAGCAGTCGTAGCGTAGGACTGAAGGAAATGCGGAAAAATGTATACAGCAACGAGTTTAAGAATAGTTAATTGGAATAAGGGCCAATACCATCCATTTTGTTGTTAAAGAAGTAGTTTCCAGATTACTCACGAACTTACAACCGCTGCAGATTTTGAGGCAGTGAACGCTAGAGATTTTATTTTACTACTATGGGTAGGATATAGGCAGCTACATATGTCCAAAAAATCAGTTTTCGCCGTCATAAAACTTCTGCTTAGATAGTGTCTTGATAAAGGTAGATCTCACCACACTATCATTGATGGCTTGGAATACCACCTTGGTACCAAGATCTGTAGTAAAAGTTTTGTAAGTGTGATTCCATAAGTCAAAAACTATCATCTGCCCTGCAAAGCCGGCAAAGATTTCTGTTTCATGGTAAGGATTACCGTTTCTAGCTCTTCCTTCCGACACTGGATATATTCGATATCTTAGAGTACTATCTTGCCTCGGTAGCGCTGCAACAATCATCAATACAATTTCACTTAACTTCCTAAATTACCACTACAATGAAGCCTCCTGTTGTGACAGTCTAAAGATACAAAAGTGTAATTACGTGAGCAGCTAGACTAGATAAAAAACATTCCGGTTAGTACGAAGGCATCCAAGTGGTTTTCAACAGGTCAGATGCTAATGGTCTCATTATATATCACGCAAAATAATGTTCTGCGTTAGTTAGTTTCCTTCCGTGAAGTGTATGCAAAGTAGATACCACGCGAAATTCAGCAGTATCCAATATAACGGTACTACTTAAGGACAAGAATTTGGATCTTATTGATTGCAGTAAAATGGCTGACCTAAGAATTTTTCAGTGACTACGCATGAATATTCATACCAGTGTGTAAGTACACTTTAACTTGGTGATTATCAACCATTACGATACTGTTGATAATTGAGACCAGAAAATCAAATATTCATTGTTATCAGAAGTCTCCAAGAATATTGCACAGTGATGGAATTAGTAGCAATGTCTGTGAGAAAACTAATGATTAGTCGTTGAATAGAAACATAACTGAAAAGAACTCATACCTTTTTAGTTATTCCGGTGGATGTATATTTTGACGAGTAGACTCAATGATCATTGATATATAAATTAGTTTGGTATACGGTAAATGGTGAAATACAGTGAACAAGATATAAACAAAGCCACTGATCCTCCTTATAGCTAAGATATTTGTAAATTAATTTTATCTGTCGATTACACTAAGCAACCTATAAAAAGTGTAAACAGTTTGACCAAATAACTCGAGTTATTTTAAGCCGATCAGTTTCGTTTGTCTTTTGAAAATTTTTTGGAAATACTAATGTGTTAGTTCGATTACATACTCATTGTAAAAATATATAAGATTCAGTTTTTTCGAAATAACTCTGTATTTTTCTATAATTGGTCGAAATTTGCAAAGCACGTCAAATCACGACTACAAATATCCTAAGAGATTAGTGCATTGAAGTACAAAAATTCAAGCACCCAACTTACTGCCTTATGGTAACCGAACTAAATACTAAGTGAAGACTACCGTTTCTCTGAAATGTAATTCAGGTGGTTGGATCGTTGTGCTTAGGATATTTGTGGTACTGATTTTACGTATGTGATAGATTTTGCCTAATTAAAGTGGCTACTAGGAAATGCGAAGTTATGTAGACATGTTGAATTGAAAGTCAGTAAAAGAATAACACGAAGAACTACAAAACAACCAGCATTGTGCAATCTTATCAAATAAAAGGGAATAAAGAAGTACGTTAATTCTATTAAGATAAGGGTGTGTCACAAATACTTCATATTGTTTCTCTTGAATATCAGTCACATCTTTCATATTATAGTGAACCGCAAGCGGGAAACTTACCATTCCCTATAGACAGAGACGAAGTTCAACAATAGAGTCCCAGGAATGCGAATGCCTCAGTGACCTTGAACGCATGCTAGTCGTTGGCTAACGGCATCTGTCATTATCATAGCTGAAATATCAACGCTATTCACCAGCTTAGCAGTAAATTTCACCCAGATCACATTTTTAAGTACTGTTTGGACAATGCGTTAATAGCTCGTTAGGGTTAGGATTAGGGTTAAGGTAAATATTGGGTTAGGATTAGGATCAGGGTTAGAATTAGCATCCGGGTTATAATTACGGTTTGGATAAGAGTTAGGATTAAGGTTAGGGTTACGATTAGAGATAGATTTATAGTTGATGTCATTTATTTTAATTTGTTTTGTTATCCACATTTTCCTGGTAAGTAGTCGTCAATCCTCTTACTGGGAACCATAGTAATTCAACCGAGGACTTTGGGGAGGACTGCACAGCAGAATAAGAGAGATAAACGATTTAAAAAAACAGCTCATCTCCTGTCACCTCGGTGAATACATGTACAGAAACTAGTCTAACTTAGCAACTGATACTCCTCATTATAACTGGGAAGTATTTTTAAGTCATGTTAGAGAAAGATAACCCGTTTAATGTGTTTTCATGAATTTTCTTGTAAATGTAAGTCATTTTTCAAATGAACTGTCGTCAAGATTTGACAGAATAGTTCTTAAATATTTGGGCGCCGAGTGAGAAGTAGACATTTGTAAAAAATTATATTTGTAAAATCTCAGCGAGATTGAAATGAGTAATTCCAACGTTTCGTTCGGCAATCTGGTCCGAAGCTGTCGAGTCACCTGACAACTCCAGTAGGTCGAATAAAGCAGCTCAATCTTCAGAAAGAAGACAAAGCAATAAGTCCGACAGGATGCTTCTACTAAACTCTAATCCTCAACACCATAATTTTGAAAATGCGTCTAATCATAAAATTCTAGATACTAACAGTTTGAACAGACATGAAGGCGTGATGTTAGCTGATGCATAGGAGATCCTTATTAATAAATAAAAACTGGATATGTATCACTAATTATTAATACTTGGTCAAAATTCTCGACTGTCCATATCTTCTTATGGAGACGTTAAGAAATGTTTTACAACTGTTTACCCACACACACATACACACTCTGTTTAGAGTGTTTAACAAAGGTAGACCAATATTTGTAAGTCCGAGGTCAAATTTTGATCACAACTCATAAAATTTTGTTTATTATACTTGTTCATACTTGTTGAATTACTCATGATTGGACAAAGATTTAAAAACAAGTGATGTTACTTTTATATATAAACCTCTATTATGTTAATTTCGATTAATTTCCCTGAAGAAGTTCGGACAAGATTGCCGAACGAAACGTTGGAATTACTCATTTCAATCTCGCTGAGATTTTACAAATATAATTTTTTACAAATGTACGTCATTTTTGTGCAAAAATTCCTGATTTTTATGATTGGTCGGCTGAAGGTCACCTGTGCGTTCGCATCCCTTGTGACTCTATTGTTGAACTTTGCCATAATTTTTTCCAAAACTAAACGGAATAGCTTAAGAAAGCTTAACTAAACAACCAAATTTAATTTAAGGAGTTTCTGTCACACAGTGTTATCCTTTTATCAACAAAATTAAGAAACAAAAGCATTAGTTCAACCTGTAGAATATTTCGTTAAAATATCTAACTCATTACTCATGTGATTATTGATCTTGACTGAAGTGAATTGATTTATCAGTTAATAAAAAAACTTACATTCTGTTTATGTGATTCAGTACAATTATAATAAACATTGTACAACAGTTATTATATTATTATTGTCCGCATTGTTATATACTGACAGAATGAGTGAATTATTCGGAAGATTATCAATAACAAGTGATGACGACGATCGTTTTAGACGTCAATCCATGATACCAACAAAACCGCTATTAGCTAATACACCAGCTATACAAAAACTTCAGTTGAAGCATTTACCAAATGTTGATGCTAAACGAATTATAAGTCTTTTGGATAATTTAACAACACGTATACTATTAGTTTCTTCATTCCCTCAAATTGTGGATAAATTACAGGTAGGATAAACTAAACAATTCAAACATAAATTAGAATTGTATCTTACTAGTAGTTTATGATTAATACACCTATTATTTTCATAAATAAACTGTTACATCCTGAGTTTCTGGTAAGCTAAACAACATAACACAGGTGTATGAAGATGAGTATCTAAGATATACTTTACCATTATACATCATAATACCGAAGTGTACCGCATATTACTCTTAGTTCATTGTACTGATTTATTATAATTACAAAGTAACACTGTAGAAACTACAGGTCTCTATCCTACTGAGATGGTTTCTGAATGATTCTGAATATTAAATTTAAGAAACGGATGTTTTAATTTACATCCAAGAATATTGCCATTGGAATGATGGAATTTTCTAATTATTTCAAGGGATCAAAGGTGACTTCTCTATTTGATAAATAAAAAATAAACGGAAATGGGAACATTAAAAAATCCCAGTTGCAATTCCAGTACTACAAGAAGCACTGGTGTTATCGGTGACACAGTTTCCAAAAACAAGTGCACTTTCACTTCATTCTGAGTAGTCATTTAAATGGCGGTAGACTTTTATTTATTTCAGGGAATTATTCCCTTTAAACTTCATAACACAATTACGAATGCAATATTGTTTGAAATTTTTTTAAAATTGGAAAACATTTTTAGGGGCCTTAATTAACATTTGTTGAGCTGTTGACGGATAAAAACGAGTGGTTTTCGATTCCTAAATAGATTTATTCTCTTTTCACTCCTATTCGTTTATTTGTGGAGGCAAGTATTTATTGAAAGACATATGTGATGTGTCATTAATTACCAGAGGGTTACATGGAGTAGATCGTGCGACGAACAGATGAAAGCTTATAGGGAATCGTGGAGTCACGAAAATAGGACTTCAGAGGACAGGATGAAATTAAGATGGGCTGTTGAAGTCCTATATTCCACCGGGAACCCAAGGGAATAGTAAATAATAATAGTGGATTATCGAAAGTTGAAAAAGATGGGTCATTGGATTTCAGTCCTGAGGCTGAGACGAAATTCATCCACCTGTTCTAGGTCAAGTCTTTTGAGAGGTTCCCATTAGAGGTGAAACAGTTGTTCAGCACTTTGTGATTTTCATTATTCGTTTAGCTGGTGTTGGTTAGTGACAAAGAATGTGTTCATATCAAATAAATCTACCAAGTGAAAATGTAAATTGACTGAAATTTTGTTTTTATGCTTTATCTTAAAGGAATTAAGGGATCAGTATTACTTAAAGTAATCAGTTCTAAGACAAGGATATACCAGCCTTCTGCAAACGTATTCATTACTGCAGTTTTATTTCAGTGTCATTCATCAGCATATACTCTCGTTAAAACCTATATATATATATATATATATATATATATATATATATATAGGTATGGTTCCCACATAAAACAGTGAGATTTCTGATGTTTATTCATTTTGATGTGATTCAGAAGAAACCTTGTTTGTCGGATTCTCTGAGACAACAGATATTGTTATAGTGCTTCAGGACAATATATTCTTAAAAAAGGGGAGCAATAGTTTTATCAGAACTTATTTTCAGAGTTGAGCTTTTTCTGGATATTTATTTATATCACCTGAAAAATACCTAAATCAATTGTCAACTTATTCTTTGTGACTGCGGTCATCTTTTGAAGAATTTTGAATAAACTGTTTGAGAATTTTTCTAGAATTTATCACCTGTAGAACATTATCACGGATGTATTAACTGAGGTATCTAACCAATCATTATCGAAGGGAGAGATTTTGACGACATCACTTCTTTCATTTAGCTAGGCAGCATCATTTCAGCTACAGGCGGAACAAATGAGGACGTCAAAACCGGAATCGGAAAGGCAAGGCAGACCTTTATCACCCTGAACTCAGTTTGGAAATTTTCTACACTCGGATTTTCTACACCTGTGTTAAGTCAGCTACCTCCTCTTTATGGGTCAGAAACTTGGCGTGTCACGAAAAAGCAATTAAAACAGGCTACTCTGAGGACTTTCATCAACAATTGCTTTCGCTCCATATTGAAGACCGAATTGCCAGAAAGAATTAGTGACAAGAAACTCTAGGAACGAACCAACCAAGAACTTATTGTTCAACAAATATGTAGAAGAAAATGGCGATGGATCGGACACAAGCTGAGGAGGCCGTCGAATGACATCGCGTGCCAAGCCATTACTCAAGTGGAACCCGAATGGAAAATGACGAGTAGGACGTCCTTGGGGACATGGAAAAGATCGTGTGAATAGGAGATGAGAGACTATGGGCGATCGTGGGGCCAGCTAAAGATGACCGCAGAGAATAGGAAAAAGTGGATATGTGGTTTCGATGTCCTATGTTTCACTCAGAACTCAAGGGAATAATGATAATAATCTATCTCCTCATATGATATCACATATACATAGAAATCTCCAGATATCTTTTGGTTGATTTATCACCAACAAGTGGAAATTCACAGAAAGAGAGTCTAAGCAATGGAAACCTAAAAACTGGAAGTCCAAAGGTGCTGTAAACCAAAGAAATAAAATCTAAGTCAATCAAAGAAGCCCCATATGACAATTAAGCTGAAAATAAGCTAAACTGGGTTTCAAGGAATATCACACTAAATCTTCAAACTTCAGTTCTTGTCATTTTGAGAACCAAAGCCAGGTAAGCTATATTCTTCTCTATGGTTAAAATTAGCATTTAATTACACGTCTCAGTCTAGCTCATATGTATCAGAATATTGCATTTATTGCATGGCTACGGGCTGAGAATTCTGTTCAGATTAAAAAGAATTTTTGTTTGTAGTACTCCTTTCAAAAACTTATTCAACTCTTTTCTTACATGAATCAGATAACATGCATTTACAATCTGTGTTTATATGAAATGCTTTATTATGAATACAGTCTTGTAATTTATAATCCATAATCAAGTAAATGTATCAATAATTTATTCATTTTCTTAGGAGTATTCATTAATTCTTGGACGAAATGCAACTGTTCTTTTTGAAGCTTACAGTCCATTAAGTAAAATCTGCAATGAACCATTTAATACTAGTACTGTTATTACTAGACCAAAATATTTTGAAACAGAAACTACTGGAAATGATACAAAAAAAGCTGTTGGTTCACAACTAGAAGAGTTAACTCCTGGAGTAACATCAGAAGATCCACTGATTACACCGAAAAGGAATACTCAGAGAGTAAGTGAAATGTTATAGTAATTACTTATTAGTACTGAATGAATCACTTTAATTGTCATTAAGATTTTAGTTTTGTCATACATGATCAAGGCCATCAAAATTCGTTGTTGTATTGATTTAGCAAACGTCGGTGGCACAGCAGTAGAATGCTCACCAACCACGTATGTGGTCCAGGGTTCGGTCCCCGGCCGACGCACTCCTTTACCTCGCAAAGTCAGTAATAAAACTGTTAGAGAGGGAGGGTTGGGCGTGGGGCTAGCAACCCCATCCCGTAAAATTAAATACCACTGCTACCGAAACTTCAAGCCTCCACTGAGAACGTAAAGGAATAAAACAAAATTGATTTAGCAGGTATTTTCTAGTTTGAAATACATGTAATCAAAGATGAATGTTTAATTCGAAAAATTGTAATTCAGATTAAATCACAATCTGTATGAGCAATTACATTAACTGTTGTCACTAGTCTTTTAATCTACCGATAAAACAATACGTCCAAAGTTGTGACAAAATGATTGTTTCATCTGTAAATTTATTGACTCGTTTACATTAGCAAAATAACAATATTTTAATTGGTTTCAGGTCAAAGGTTACAGTAAATTTTTTTTAAATTATTGGGTTGAATCGAGCAAACAACTGATGAGCTCAGCCCCAGACGAGCAAAAGGCTCATCTGGTGTTTAGGTCACTTCGATCTGATATGCAAGTACTACTGTTTGACATAGGTGGTTTCCGACTACTTATATCAATCAATAAGTAGTATATACCATCGCATTACTTAACTTGTTTCCTTGTTTAACATTTATGGTATGAAACAGACTATATATTGTGATCTCAATATTTTTGATTTCCAAAGGAAACTGTGGTGATTGCTAACTTCGAAATGTGTAGTTTGCAATAATGAATTTTATTCTACTACACCAAATTTTACACGCGTAATGCTACGTTTCGCAAGTACAGCGGCTAGAGTATTTGAAGCATGTAGGATGGGGAAATAATTTTTGTTAGCTATCTAGCTACCTTAATAGTTAGCTTGATTTCTTGATGGCCCAGTCACTGAACATTATTCGAATCTCATATGTAATCAAAGCCTAATTCAAATGCTATTTCGTTTATTTGAAAATAATATAATGAGCGTAAATAATAGAATTGGGCAAAAGTTAGTATGCTATTTTGGGTAAGATAGAATCATTCTTAAGTAATTATGAGAAAAAGTAACGAATGTACTTCCTCGCAAATCACTTTTATTTCAAGCTGATGTCAAAAGGTCTAGCAATACAATTCAGTTCTTGGAGAACAGCAAAATCATTAGAAGAGTGGAAAATAATCAGTTATTGATCTTTAATAGCCACCAAGTTAACTCAGTATAATATTAACATCTGTTCATGTACCAAAGAGAGGAACACGTGTTTTAATCTCTGACACTAAGTCTAGGTAGCTCAGCCCAAAGGTATTATAAATCATTGGTATGATGGTATGCCTTTACAATAATCGAAAAAAAAAGTATAAAAGTTTTCACTTTTTCACTCTTTTGACGCATTCCTGAACATTTTATTTAACTGCATTTAAATGTTCTAACCTTGTAATTTGTAATTATGGTTGATCTAATACCATTCCAATATTATCGGTTTTATAGTTATATGCTACTGCATAGTTTTTTAGCAACCATAGACTGTCTGACTGCAGTCGAAATGACCATTAGACACTAAAGGTAGAGTATATAAATAGATGATATAAGTTTCAGCTGGAGTGGCCTAGATATATTCATATCTTATCGACATCTTAATTGTCAATCCGTATTCGGTTTGCTTTATCTTTTATTTCGCTGTCTTATAGGACTTTATCATCTTCAAATATACTATTCACACCTATTTATCTCCTTTCCTACAACCTGATCAGTGTTGAAACATAAGTTATAACTAATGGTGGGAGCTATTTTGAGAATGTCTGTCTGTATCTTAAAAGACATCACTATTTTGGAGTGTATTTTCACAGTCTTAGGCCTGCTATAGCATTTAATTCAGCTGAAATCGTAAATGTAGGCGTAGAAGAGTTGTATAAACATTCAGACAAAGTGAAATAGCCTCATGATATTTTGTTTTCCCCGCTTTTTGTATTTTGCATTGGTGGTTCAGTGGTAGAACGCTCGCCAACCACGCCTCACGTGGTCCGGGGTTCGATCCCCGTCTGACACACACCCAAGCCTCGCTAACCTGGTAGTAAGGCCGGTAAAGAGGTAAGGTTGGGCGTGAGAGTAGCAAAATCACCCCGTAAAAATAAAATCACTGCTGCTGAAACTTCAGAGCTCTAGCTTGAAGCCCTATGTTCCATTCGGAACGTAAAGGAGTAAAAACAGACTTTAGATATTTGATTTTTCAAAGTGTTGCAGCTTGACATGATGGGCTTTTGTGTAGAGTTCTACAGTGATAGATCAGTCAACCAGTCAAAAGTATTATAAGTAACAAGTATTTTTGGATGAATTTGGTCGTGTATCGCAACAGACAAAAAGATTTCTTCACATCCTGGAACTGATTTAGTCTAGAAATGTCAACTGTGGGAATAGGACAAAAAAGTTTGATGATGACATCACTAGCAGAAAGGTTAAAATGTGGAATATGAATGTTATGCCTAGTTTCGCATTGATGAGTTCTTTTTCCTTCACGTACGTCGGTGGAACATAGGGCTTCAAGCTAGTGGCTTGAAGTTTCCATAGCAGTGTTTATTTTACAGGATGGGGTTGCTAGCCTCATGCCCAACCTTTCTTCTTTACCAGCAATATTTCTGGCTTAGCGAGGTAAAGGAGTGCGTCGGCCGGGGAGCGAACACTGGACCATGTGCATGGTCGGCGAGCGTCCTAACCGCTATGCTACCGACGCATTGATGAGTTACACAAGTTAATTGTTATTCTATGTTTCTGGTGATTATTTTTATTGCGATTTTACGATGAAAATCATGTTTATAAATACCCAATCTCCTTGTTTACTTAACGGATAATCAGCACTATCATCCTAACATTATAATATAAGATGATTTCCATGTGGATGCATGCGTGAACCTCCATTTCTACAAGAAAAGCATATAAACGCATGTTTCGGCCAAATCATTTACAGACATACAGTTGTTTAACTTATCATTAGTTTCTTTTAGGCAATCAGCAAATTCGGAAACGTCATTTTACCTTTTCATGAAATTGTTATAAAAACGTTTCCCTATCTCTTTGTTTGTTCAATTGTGGTAGTGTGATACAGACAATGTCTGTCGATGAAATATTATGCTCACATATTCCCATATTTCAATATTGCATGCAATATATCTGTTTGAACATTCGATTTGATGTTAGACAGAATACATTTCCCACGGTTGTAAACTGCAATAACAAAAGAATACTAAATATATTTGAACATTCTATGTCATGTTGTTTGATGTAAACCGAAATCACACGCTCGGTGATTGGTTAACGAATATGAACTGTAGATATAGAAACAACTGTTTGATTAGTGAAAAATAAACCTTGGCTCCCTTGTCTTGCCTTTTGTTGTTACAAGGTGACCGTGATATATTTGCTTTAAGTAAAACAGCTTGGGTCTGCTGAAATTTTCAGTCTCTGTTATGATATCGGTCGGTTTCCGACATAGAACTTTGCACATATGTGCGGCAGTTCAAGTCGCCACACTCCATGTAGCATGCAAAGCAAGAGAAGAAAGTAGAAGAAATGCATAATATAGACAGTAAACAGAGGTGTGAGACAAAGGTATAGTAATAGCGAAGAACAAAACAGTTTCATTGGAAATCATAAGTCACAAGGAGTGGATGCATCTGCGCCACCGAGAACGATTTTCAGCCATGTCACCAATTGTTTCCGACCAATGGTTTTTACCGTCCCCAGGACCCCAACCAGGAAGTCTACACCTTCCTACGTGGCTTAGACTAACTGTTGTGGGTTTCATTGACTGGTGCCATGTTTTGGTTTGACCGCCGCTAGCTCTTTTCCAGCCTGACCCTATATCAGCTGCCATTGCCCGTCGAGGAAGGCGATGACTAGGCATACGTAATACATGTCCTAACCATCTCAGTCGATGCAATTTCACAGTCTCGTCGATTGATTATGATATAAAAGGCATTATTAATAGATGTACTATTTTAAAATAATAAATGGATACCAAACTTCTGATCAGCTGTCAATTTGTTATGCAACAGATCTGGTTTCTATTTGGAAGTGACATGTAGTTTTTGATAGAACTCGTAAATATCAAGATTTTAGTGCATTAATTTTTGGGTATTCGGTATTTTATGCGATTTTATAGTGTGGCAACTAGGACTGGTGGCCATAGATGCATATTTGTCTCTTTGTCTAATGTTCTAAGTTGCTATGACACCTGTGTTGTTATATCTGTCTGTCTGTTTTCGACATAGAACTTTGCACTGATGTGCAGCAGTTCAAGTCGCCACACTCCATGTAGCACACAAAGCAAGAGAAGAAAGTAGAAGAAATGCAAAATAGGGACAGTAGACAGGGATATAATACAAAAGTAAGAGTAATAACGAAGAACAACATAGTTTCACTGGGTATTATAAGTCACAAGTAGTGAATGCATCTGTGCCAGCGATTGAGAACGATTTTGAGCCATATCACCGATTGTCAACAGCCATTGGTGTTTACCGTCCTGAGGACTCCAACCAAGCTGGCAGTCTACACCTCTCTACGTGGCTTAAACTAACTGTTTTGGATTTCATTGACTGATGAAGCCAGGTTTTGGTTTGACCGCCGCTAGCTCTTCTCCAGCCCGACCCCATGTCAGCTTACATTGCCCGTCGAGGAAGGCGATGGTTAGGCTAGGCATGCGTAACACATGTCCCAACCATCTCAGTCGATGTAGCTTCACAGCCTCGTCGATTTATTTCCCCTCCTTACCTAGCTCTCGACGCCTAACCTCAATATTGCTCACCCTATTATACCATTTCACACGGGAGATAGAACGCAGACACCTATGATCAAAGACAGCTAATCTTTTCATGTCTTCTGCTCTCAATGGCCACGTCTCACATCCATAAAGGAGGACGGAGCAGACTGCTGAGCAGTACACACGGCCTTTGGTCGATAGTCGGATATCATGTCTGCGCCAGAGACGGCGTAAATTGGCATATGCGAAACTAGCCTTCTGTATCCGTGCTGAGATTTCGTCAGAGATCAACCCGCTGGTGCAACTTCCCAAATCGGTGAAGTGGTCAACACACTCTACCACTTCACTCCCTATTTCTAAGCTAGGAGTCAATGTAGTCCAGTCCTGTGGCATCATCTTAAATTTGGTGGGAGCGAATCGCATGCCAAACATTCGCAGATTGCAGCTCAAGGTGTTCAGAAGACTCCGCTATTTTGTCAGCGTCTTCACCTAGAAGGACTATATCATCCACATATTCTAAGTCAACGAGATTATTCCCTGGTAACAAGTCAATCCCTGAGTCTCTGAAGTGAATTAGGGTTAAATCCATTAGTACATCGATAATGAAACTGAATAGAAATGGGGATAGTTGGCATCCCTGACGGACATCACTAGTTGTCACCACTTCAGATGACCACTCGCCGTAAGCTCGTACCTGGCTGCATGAGTTCGAGTATAGTGCCTTGATCAGTGCAATGTATTCTCTCGGCATTCCCTTTACAGCCAAGCATCGCCATAGTACCTCTGTGTTGTTGTATAAGAGAATATTGGTTTTGGTTCGTGTTTCTGTTAACTGCTGTAATTAGTGTTATATGTTTTACACAACTTTTGTTCAACAGTTATGCATTTTACCCTAAATACTCTATTTTCTTCACTTTAATCAAGGTTATATCTCGTCTATACGATGTAACACGTTTGCTGCTTAGAGATCTAATGGCAAATCCATTAGCTGTATCAGCTTTAATTCGTCATCGTGAACAATGGGCTATAGAACCGAGCAGTTCTTGTCGTAAATTAGTCAATCTTTTAGTACATTTAAGAACATTGACACGCAATGAATTACTAACAACACAAAAGGCTAAAATTAAACGAGATGATTTTCTGGATCGTTTACATCGTAAAGATTTAGAACAAACTAAACAAATTGAAATACTAACTGAAACCTATAATCAATTAAAGTCTACACAACTTTCTCAGGTAAGTATTATAGACACAAGGAATAAACTATTTCGATTTCGAAGTATTCATTGTTTATAAAGGCATTTAGACAAATGCTTATTGGTTATAACATTCAGTATCGGCAACCAGAATACTGTCCTTCTAGAGCGATTTATTTTGGAGCAGCAGGACACAGAAGATGGTTAAAATTACTTTATCAATAGCAAAAGAAGTCACATTGCACAAATGTAATCGAGTTTATACAATGATTTGAGCTAGCTTGCTTGCCCCTACTGGATGCCGGGATGCGCTTTTTAAGGTCGCCATCCCGTTTTTCAAATTCCCGATTAACACATGGTATTAAGTTTATCATGGAAAAAAGGCAATATCTAACCATTTTAAACAAGGAATAGCTAGAGTTCATCAATGTGTATTGGTCAGTTCCCTTGACACGAAGGATCTAAGTATTTCCGCGTAGCAGGATGGACAACACTGTAAGGCATTAAACTGTGGTTTAATGTAAGAGTAATCTGTCGTTTTATTGAAGAGTCCGAGTAGAAAATTGAATTCGAAACCCAGTATATTCAATTTCCTTTGAATTCTAGTTATGATATAATTCGTTTCAAGGTTTAGTTGAATACTGAATACACTGTAAAATTATGTTGAGTTTTTCATTCGGAGCAAAGGTACCCCATCGCTATACAGAAGAAAATAATAGTCTGTCATGGTCCTTTTTATTCCTACCGATTACCTAATTGGTTCATCGAAGTAAACATGTTGACTACTACTTACCAATGTGAAAAGATTTTCAGCAACATTGTATGTGACTAGATAAATTGAAAAATGAGCGCAGTTTTATGTAAATTTCACAGGAATCAAACAGTGTAAAAGAATCTTTCACTGCTAGTTAGGTTTTTAATGTCTGTGTTCTCCTGGTTCGTAAAGTTGTTGCGTCTCTGCTCTTACCAGGAATTCACATGTTTTAAAGTATGGTTTTAGAGACTGTAATTTTTATTACTGTCATAAATATTAACACTACTGTTTTCATGCTCGAGATTTCAAAGTGTATTTGGTCACTGAACTGCATGACTTAAGTGTCGTAAACTTAAAAAGGTGATAGACTATTTCAATTGTTCAGCTGACTCAATGAATATGATGATGTTGAGTGGGAGGTCATGTGGTACTTATTCAAATGAAGTAGTTAAAGTGAAAGTGAGACACAGGAGGCCTAATGATTAGTGAAACTGACCGATATTTTTGCAGTCACCTATTTAAATCCTATCATGACTCAAGGTTACTTTCAGATTATGGGTTTTAAAGGGATTTCGGATTAATTTCAATGTAAATTTTGTTATGAACCAGCATCATTTAAAGAATTATTGAAAACCAAGGAGTAATGGGTAGTTTTGAGTTCTTCAACAATGAGCATTCATAGCCCCATCAGGGGTCGAACACAGGACCTTGAGTTTACGACTCCAGCTCGTTGACCATTCAGCCACTTAGGCCGGAATTCGGTAACCCGTGAATTGTAACTTCTGTCAGTTTATGATATAGCGCTACCCTCAACAAGTGTCTTTGATGAGCATCCACTTCACCATTACATATTCGATCCCATTCGCCATGAATTCTCATTACAGATTCAGGACATCCATCCAATGGCCACCAATTGTGGCGTGTGCTACTCATAAGATTTATCAGTAGTATATAAAGAGATGTTCATTGTCATAAAAAAAGGAATAGCAGGGAGGTAGATTTGATGTCAGGGAAAGTAAATGATACAGCGTTGTGGAGATACATTGGAGACGTGAAAGGAATATAAAGAAACACAATATGAAGGCCAAAAGTAGCACAACATGGAAGATCTGGAAAATGGTGATTTGAAGATAAGGTGTACATAATTCGGCTATACAGAGATACCAAGTTCCCTTAAGCATTCCTTTACCAAGTCTTTCGTCTTCTACCGTTACACAATGACCTGAAGATTACTAAAAATCATACTGTTGTCAAAAGCATACTTGTGAACCTCAAATAAGCAAAATATACTTTGTAGATTCCTTAACTGTTTCTATATCAGAGTCACTGAAAAACAATGAATATTAACAATTACTTTTTGTACATAAACCTGTTTTACTCCAAGGTAGCATGGTATGAAATATTAATAGTTTAGTATGGATGAAGATTCATTTCAACGTAAATCTCTTCACAAATCTTGAAGATGTGGGCTGGATCCTCTGTGGAGTTATAGTTGCGTACTTATGAAGACTCTTAAACTAGGATGAAGCAACTACCTGGTGTTCTCTGGTTTTCAATGATTCTCTAACTTGATGTTTTCTTTATATCTACTTTATCCGTATACGGCTTGAAATTCGGTGTTGACGTTTTCCACTATTTATTATTTATAAGTAGTCAGTTTATAAATAATGAATTGAATGATGATATTTCTAGCAACTGTTTAAAAAAATACCATGAAATAATAAAGTAATCAAGGGATGTGAAAGAAAAGAAAAAATACAGGAGGTAAAGTAATCTTATCGTCTTTTAAATGTTGATGAATTTTTCCTCAAAGCACAAATTATCACTACATTTAGGTATGTCAGCTAAAGAAAGCCATATGGTTATCAGAGTTTCGAGTGTATGTATGCATAACTGGGATTTACTCTTATCTAGAAACATTCTACGCATTTATCATGCTTTTGTCTATTAGTCAAATATAAAGATTTCAGTATTATAAATATACTCTAGTTTTTCAACTGGTTTGACAATGTACAGTTGAATAAGTGGAACTGCTGTTATTCAAGCAATGAAACTAGAAATCATTTTTCACTTCTCACCTTGATGTTTTGTAGAAGCATTGCATTTTCTGTAAAATAACAGTTAGACCATCAAAAGTTGAATGTACGAAATGCATAATTAATAGTTTGAATATGTGTGATAACTACTTTTACTCCAGAATCGTTTTCTGAAACAGAGATTGTTGGTCACTGAATTAGATAAATTATGACATTCTTCTTAGAAGTGAAAAGTTCATATAGTTAAGGAATGTTTCATATATATTAATCTTCTATACATTAAGAAATCAACGCATTTACTAGTCAATTTAGAATTTTCTCCACTTCAAGCAGACAAGCAATTAAGCATATAATACTGGAATGCTGGGACCACACAGTCATTTATGACACTGAATTTTTTCTGGCTATTAGAATCAAATGTGTCATTGTCAAACTATACCGAAGAACTTACCATTGACTGTAAGACGTATAATCTGTGGTTTGCATAAAAATAAACGCGTATTTGGTGCGATAACGTCATAATATCTCTTTTCTTTCTTAAAGGATTTAGATAGGAATGAAGGTATTTGTTCTAAAGGAAAATGAATATCTCTACCTTCTGTTTGAATGTAGAAAAAGCTAAATGTGTTGAGAATTTTCAGTCATACTGAATGAAGCACTTGTGAACTACTCAATGTGTCCTTCAAGAGTTAATGTACAACTCTTTTTAGATCTACCGCAATTAAAACTTTAACTGTTAATAGCTGAATTACCTTTCATAAAGGATACAAGGTTTATTGAAGAAACCAGACTTCCACAATAATTAAGAAATTAGATAATGAGTTTAAATTTATCATGAGACAATAGCAGAATCCGCATAACAGTAATTAAGAGTATGCTGTAACTAAGTATCAAAGGACTGTAACAAGAATTCAGGTTATTCTATCAAGCACATATTGTCTCAAGTGACCATTGAAAAGAAAAAGAAATAATAGTACAGTATTTCCTGGTTTCGACAAAGTGACAGAAAGCTGTAAAAGAATAAATTCAAAAGTTGTTAAAAGTTGTTTTCAGTCCTGAAAATTATTAATGGACAAAGCTAATGCAGAAGGAAGCTTCAAATCCAGATATCACTAGATCCTCATTTAAATGATATTTGCTTTTATAATTGAGTGGTATAACAATTCAGTATGGCAGGAATGATGTATAGTTTTTATTTTATCTTCTAAACATATTATTATTCCCTTGGATTCCGAGTGGAACATAGGGCTTCAACAACACATCTCCACTTTGCTCTATTTGGTGTTGTCCTCTTCAGATGGGTCCACGGCTGACCATAATCGCTCATCTCCTCCTCACACGATCTCCTCCATGTCACCCTCGCACCGACGACCCACTCGTCGCTTCCCATTAGGATTCCACTCGAGTAATGGTCTGGCACGCGATATCATTCGGCCTCCCTGATCCATCTCCATTTTATCCTACATATTGGTTGAGCAATAAGTTCTTGGTTGGTTCGCTCCCAGAGTTTCTTGTCGCTAATTTTTCTTGGCCATTTGATCTTCAGTATGGAGCCAGCGAAGACATCTGTTAATAAAAGTCTTCAACTTGTTGGAAATCCTTTTTGTGACATGCAGTGCAAGTTTCTGGCCCGTGTAGAAGGAGTGACTGACTTCACATTTGTGTTGAAAATCCGAATCTAAACATATGTTCAGTTAACTGTTTTCCTTAATGTAAAATTGCAAAAATTATCCTTCTCGAACTGAGTGATAGTTAGGTTCAAAAACCAAACCCAAATAGTGGATATTTTGTAAATTTGATATCACTTTAAACCTCAGGCCTAACTGACAGAGATTCTGTCGTCAGTTTGGAGGTCAACGTCAGTGCTATTTCGTAAGACAGTGAGTTTGATGAAAGTTTTATACGAATTCATAAGTAATGTTTGTCCAGCATCAGTTTATATCATAATAATTGGTACTTAGGAATAGCTTGTCAGTGCTCGTATTTGTGGGACTGAGTACTATTAAAATAATAATTGTTCAGGCAATTTACATTCTAAGTAATGCTGTTTGTGGACAGCTTCAGTTAGATTAGGCGTTTTGTCACTTTTCTGGACTGATTTGCTTTTAAGAATGATCACTGTGTCAATTCTTGACTCAATTTTAGAGTCAAAAAAGACATCTGTGCCTTTTTGGCCGAACAAATTCGAGGTAAACATAGTTAGTTGATTACCTAAATATTTCACTGTAGTCCTCCAAATCTAAGCAAAGT